TGTTTTCATATTTCTTGTGTTGTGGTAGTTTGGGAATTTTTTTGTCTTTTCTGTGTGATGCTTTTGTAACCAGCCATGAAAATAGGTGTTAAAAGCAAGGATAGAAGTCCATGTGTGTCTTATTGTTCTTATAAGTATCGTGTGACTGTTTCAGTGATTAGGTTTCCACGGCTTTGAATGCTTAGTGCTGTCTTCCAATAGCAAGTTACCTTGTAATTATTTTTACAGTCCCTTGGAATATGTCCTGAAGCTTGATAAGTTTTATATAATTATTTATTTTAAAATAAAGTTTTACTATTTATTGATCTCTCTTCTACATAATAGCAAAGGAAATAAATATATTGGAGCCTCCCATTCATCTGTTATCTTGGTTTCAGTTTTTTGTAGAACCACTTTTTTTCTTCATAATATTTCTTTGGAACTGTTCTAGCCTAAAAAATTATGGCAGACCAGACCTGGCATTGGTGGGGTGCTTGGTGGGGGGATGCTTTTCTTTTGTATTCCAGAGTTGGTTCCAGGGCCTTTTTTTTAAAAAAAAAAAAACAAACCAAACAACAACAACAAAAACCCCTTTGATATCTTGTCAGTCAGACAAGTACTTTGTGCTTAGTGAAAGATGAATAAACCCATTCGATGAAAGACTAAGCTACTTGCCTGAGTAGTGCGTTTGGATGTCAGTGATGTAGAGCCCCCTGTGTAATACAGCAGCTCTTATCTACTGTTCTGACAGACATGATCAAATTAGTCTAGTTTGTTCCAGTTTTTAAATTGTGAAAGCAGCTTTAGCTTGCAGCAGTATTTGTACCTCTCTTAACATTAACTATTAATTAAAAAACATTAAAATGCTTTATAAAACATGAGGCATAAAAAACCAAAGCCTGATAGATGTTGGTGCAAGATCTAAGAAGATGAAATGACATTCTGAGATTTTGTTTGCTTCCTCCAGAAAACAGAGAAGTCGTACCCTCTAAATTTTGATGCTGCTAAATTATTTAGTGCTTTAAACAAAATAGACAGTCAGGGTATAAACATGGCAATACTGGGGTGAACGTGAAAGTGCCAGCTGACTTCTCTGGGACTAGAATATTACCTAAGGTATTTTGCAACAGTTTTCTATTGTTTTCTTTGTTCTTGTCCTCCATGAGTTAGTATTCATAGAATTCTGAAATCAATGAAGTACAAAGTAACAACCTTCTCCCTAATGAAATTCAACAAAGTCTTGAAAATTGATCTGTAATAGCATAATATGCTGCTGAGCATGTTTTTGTTGTATCATAATCTCATTTTAAAGTTGATTGACAGCATATGGCCATTACAGTATATTTTAGTCTTGGGATTATGGCATTAATAATGCAAGCCTTGTTATGCATTCATTCTGAACTGAAAAGAAGTTTATTCTAAGACTTAATCTTTTTAACCAAATACGCAGTATTTCTGTAAGCCACTTTATGTAGGGAGAAGCTCAAAAGAAGCACTTACTTGTGTGTTAGCTATTTCTTTATTACTTGATGACAAATAAACATCACATGTTTTTCTGTTATGCTGTGTTTTTAAGTCTGATGAAAATGGTTTAGAATTTTTTTTTTTAATTTGGTGGAAATTTAATTGTTTCTTTTGAAGAATATGATCAAATTTCAGTACCAAAAATCTATAAAATACATTTTATTATTTCAGTGACAGGAAATGTTTGTTTGCCTGTCACTGGAATCTATTGTACCAAAATCTTTCTGAACAGCATAATGAACCTTTCCACCTTCCCCACAGCTGCCCACCTCCACACCCGCAAAACACACAGCAAACCTCTATAGATCCTGTCAATATAATTTGATGTCCATGTAGCCTTTAGTTTGAACTTTGGGTGTGGACAGAAAAGGTATTCAAATCACACTCTTGAAATACATCAGTCCCAAGTGTCTGTTTTGTCTTATATAAAGAGTGAATGACACTTTATTTCCATTAGTATCATACTTATTTCCATTAATATAGTAGAACACTTAACAAATAGCAAGAATTTAGAGACTTAAAGTAATGTTTACAAGGTTAAGAACCTAACTGGGGTAGGTTCTAGATGTAAAAATAACTCAAAATAACTTATTCTCCCCCAGAAATCAGAGACTCGTTTTAAACTGAGAGAAGGCTGTGTTTCTGGTATTTGTTGCAAGAAAATCATCTTTAGGAATGAAACTGAGACATATATTACTTAGATGTCAAAGAGAAACTCTAACTTATGTGTGGCATTTATATGTAGGAGAAATTCATATCGACATTCTAACTTAATCCATTTTAAAGGTTTAAGAAATTCAAATGGGATTAGAAGACATCAGATTTCCAAGTGAAACGTACTACCTAATATGGTGTGTGATTGGACTCAGGGGAGAGTCAAGGTGGTAGTCATCCATAGGTGACTTCTTTCCTCAGATTTTAGGTAAAACTTTCACTTGAGAAACTTAAGATGATAATTCCTTGATATGCACCCGTTTTTATCCCAGGTGAGGAAGAAAGGAGTAATTGCATTCAGCTATCTTTTACATAGTCAGCTGGAGGTGTCTGAATTCATGCTGTGAAAGAGCTTATGTATTCTTCTCAAAAGGGTCAAGAAAAAATTTTCCTGAAGCAGTGAGACTGGCTGAGGTCAACCCAAGACTTGCTGATATTTTCATAAGTTTTCATGGATGACAATTTGAGAGGCAACTTGATAAAACTGTCGAGTGAGATATGCTGAGCATGAATAATATTGTGAAATAGATTAGCTAGTGGGCAAGAGCCAATTTTCAGTGATGATATCTCTCAAAGCATGCACAGGTGCTCATCTACTAGAAAAAATAGAATGTAATAAGTTGGGAGAGCTTCTAATTGGGGAATAGAATTTTCTAGCATATCTCAGCCACACGGTTGGTTGGGGTTTGTTGGGTTTTTTTGGTTGGTTGGTTGGGTTTTTTTGTTTGGTTGGTTTTTTTGTTTTGGTTTGGTTTTTTTTTAAGAAAAAAAAGGCTTCCTATATAAAAAGTTCTGGACATGTGTCTACTTTTACATATAGCTATAATTAGAGACGTGAAATGCTGCTTTGAATCCCACTTCAGTATTCATGACTGTTAATCTGCACATCCAAGTCAACAGATAACAAGATCAGGAAATACAGGAGCTCCTTAGCTCAGGTATATGGAGGATAACAGCTGTCTAAATATTTATGAAAGAGTATTTACTCTTTCAAAATGTCTTACAAAGTTGAACTTTACTGGATAAATAAAGGAAAGTATTGTCCTGTCTCCCAAACCTGCAGCTGAAGAGTCTTTCATGGCACGTCCAGGCCTTTAATGCCAAAATTCTTTCTAAACGCAGGTTATCAACACTGGAAATAGAAGAAAGAGCACAAACTCTTGGTCTCTTTGAGACTTTGAAAACCGATCCTGAAACCTTACATGAACACATGCTTAAATATGTTTACCCAAGTATTGAAGGTAGAGATCACCAGCGGTTGCTTTATTATTTTACACTCCTTGAAAATTGTGGTTGCTCAGAAGTGGTGAAGCATGCTATTAAACCTGAAACTCACATCCGACTCCTGAAAAAATTCAAAGCAGTTGCACCAGGTAGGAGAGTTCCTGTTTCTTTTCTTCATAGCTGTATTTATTATTCTGTTATGTGAGTGTTGACATGATTATGCTTACCTAGTTTATACTCTCCGGGTAATTTTTTTTCAGTGAGCATATCAGGTGAATGCAAGTAATTTAGTAGATTAGTCACGTCTTCTGGGAGTTAAGTTCCTTCTTCCTTCTCTTTGTATTGATGGAAACTTAGTTTACTATCACAGCAAGCAAGAAATATTTAAAAACAGGTTTCTGTTGGTGATGCAAGTTAAAATTATTGGCAGTGGTTCATAGTGAATTTTTAAAGAAAAAATACAGACCTCCTAGAGCATAATTTTTAACACTGCAAGTTTTTCATGAATATTCTCAAAGAACTTAAAACAGTTTACCTTTCAAAAGTCTGAATTACATAATACATCAGGAACTTTAAGCTTTTTGTTTGTTTGTTTTAAAGAGAGTAATTTTATTTTGTGGTTTATCCTTGATGTTACCTTTTGCTTTTGCAGAACTACAACGTTATTTGTCCTCCTACATTATCAGACAATGCCTGTAAAAGTGAGCTGCTGGAAAACACTCTGACATTTTGAATACTAGTTTCAATTTGCTTGTTAGTCAAGTATTAGCAGTATCTTGAATGACAGTTGAATAACTCCAAATCCAATTTCAGAATGAAAAATACACACTGTATGGGATTAGCCACTGTGGGGATGAATTAATTGTTCAATACTGGAACCTCACGTGTATCAGACACTAAATTAACTGCAGAATTTAGAGAGATTGTGCATATGAATTCATGTATTCCAGGAAGAAAAAAAGGCAATAATTTTTTTGGGGGGAGCGAATACCTTCAGTTCTCATTGATGTGTTTAAACACTCAAGTTTTACAGTGCTTGCTGAAGAAAAATCTGTCAAGACGTTACTGTTTGCCTTCAAAGTTATTGTTAAACGTTGCTCAAAAAAAAATCCTGGGACCCTGGGACCGTACATCAGACATAAATTAGTCACTTTGTACAGTAAAAAATTAAATCTATTGTATTACACCCTTAATTAAAATTCCTAGTGTTCAGCGTAATTTACAGACAGTAGGCAAGGAACAACATCAAAGTCTTTGTAGAGGCTGTAGGCCTTAAGTACATGAAGAAACACATGGCAATGGAAGTCGGTTGTCTTAGGAATTACACGCATAAAGTACTATTATTGCTAGAAATATTTTGTTGTTGCTAGAATAATTTGCAAGAATTTTCTTCCTGTAGGAACCAAAGTAGCAACAGGACTTTTGTGTTGTATAGATATTCATGTAAATGGATCTACATGTCCTGTCTCTAGTTGACCTTACTTAGTTTACCTGTGGTTAGTGCCTCGCATTTTTGCTGAGATAGGTAGTAGGTGCCAATTGTTACATGAATAGAATACATCTTTTTTTACTTAATGAAGACTTAACTAAAGAGGTGAGTGCATGAGGTTTTCTAGGATTTATATTAAAAAAATAGTAGCACAATTCAATATAATATATATATATTTTCTTGCTTCTTTGAGAATCAGCTTTTTTAGTCTGTATCAGGATGTCATGTTAAAATATCTTCCAGGGTTTGAGAGATTTTACACACATCAGGACATCATAAAATCCCAGTATTACCTGTATACAAACTGTCTTCCTCCCCAGTCTTGTCAGTATGTATGATTCTAAAAGGATGTGGAGTAGAGTCTTTCTAGTTCTGCAGTTACTGGTTTAGTACTGATTGTTTTACACATAAATGTAGAGTTTGAGTAGATTTAAGTATGAATAACTTTTATTTTGTTTGCTTTTTTCTCCTTTTGTCAATAGGTCTTAATTACAAAAAGCTAACAGATGAAAATGAAAACCCTCTGGAAACACTGGAGCCCATCCTTACAAGCCAAAATATCTTATCTATTTCCAAACTGGCTCCCAAAATTCCCAAAAAAGATGGCAGTATGCTGTCACCAAGCTCTGTTTATGCTGCCTGGTTACAAAAACTTTTTTGGAATGGTGATCACCATCTCATTAAAAAAATACCAGAAACCATGGATGAGTGGCTACATGGGTATGATATATGTTCAAAGTACTTGGATAGACTTGATCCAGATGACATTGTCACTTTCATTGATGCAATTACCTTTTCTTCAAAAGCTGTCACAAAGGTAAGCAGATATATTTGAAGAATTTCAGGCCTCAGGTGAGGCGCAGTTGAATATAGTATCAAGGAGAAAGTCCCAGCAAATTTTTACATTTTTCATTTTACAGTTTTTATAGATAAATTCATAAACCTACCTTCCTCTGCCTACCTCTTGTTTTTATGACTGCCAGTATAAAAAAAAAGATTTTTATTCAGTTAGAGGAGTTGGCTCTGTGCATAAGAGGGTTTTTGATGGAACCCCGAAGTCCCTGTATTCTGGTTCA